CTCAAAATGCACAACGAACGACGAGCGCTGACTGGCAAGGACCGGTGGACGGTGGACCAGTGGACTGTGGGGAGCCAAGGACCTACCAGGACACAGGACGCACGGCAAACTTTAATTTACAATCAATTCAGGCGTGAATAATAAACCACAAGAAACCAAACAGAGCCCGGGCACTGGCCAAAGACAACGCACAAGTGAAAGTGTTGCCAACTAGCTGCAGTTTAAACTGCTTAGCTGTGTGTGTGTGCGTGTGTGCGTGTGTGTGTGTGCGTATGTATATACTCTGAAATTTAGTTACAACACAATACCAAAAGTTTTCGAGCAAGTTTCCAAACAAACAAAGCATAGAACCTGGCCCGTTGCCACTGAATGCGTGTAGTGAGACCCCCAGATCCCAGAATCGACACCAGACCCAATCCCCAACTCCCCAACCGCAACACTTCCGCCTCCATTCAGCTTTTCAAGTTGAACGTCAAGTGCCTTGTCCGGCCGAGTCCCTGGCGACGTTTGCGTCTGGCTCCCTGTGCCGGGCTATCAATATTGTTTTCCTATTAAATTGATCATTGGTCAGCAACAATTGTGGCTGGACGTCCAGTTAGCCCGTCCCGCCCCGTCCCCACTGCAGCTGCCTTTGTTCGTGGCTCTGTTGAGTGGCAGCCCAAGGGAGCAGCCAGTGCGTCCGACTGCCCATTGCTATGCATTAATTGTACGAATCTAATGAAATTAATTGAAATGCTTGGCTGAATGTTGTCCATCTGTGAATGTGAGTGTGAGTGCGAGTGTAAATGTGAATGTGAGTCAGAGAGTAAAACAGCCTGGCAGTGCATGTTGAGCGGCAGCTGCTTGCAGCATTTCGACCACAGCAATTGTCAATCACAATTTGGCTTGTGTTTGGAGTTTAGCTCAGCAATGCATCGGCTTACTTCTCCTTTCACTTATGGAGTTAAGCATTGCAATAACTGGGAATCGATGAGGAGAATGAGTAATATATAGATCTGCTAGAGCGCACTCTCATTACGATCTCTATTGCTGATCGATCGCCAAGGAACCGATGGAATCGATTGCTCTATGAGTCTTTACTCAGAGTGTGAGGGAAAAACATTTCTGGGCAGACATCGGGAAACGTTAAACCAGACAAACCTGCCAATGGGAAATTGCAAGTGCTCAGCTGATCACGAGATTTTGTCTCTCAAACGGGAATCAATCGGAACATAAAACATGGGATTTAAGCATATCAATATTAGGATTCTAGTGTAGTTTAATCTGTATATATGGAGTTCCACCCTAGCTTTAATGTCTTTTTCTTTTCCACCCAGTTTTCTGTATTACTCCCTCTCTCACACTGCCTGCTCCTTCTCTCCCTCCCTTTCATTTCAAATGGACTCATGCCACCATCATGCCACTCATGCTATTCTATCAATATTAGGATTCTAGTGCAGTTTGATCTCTTTCACCCTAGCTTCTATTTGTCTCTTTATTTTGCACCCAGTTTTCTGTATTACTCCCTCACTTTCACTCTCTCACACTGCCTGCTCCTTCTCTCTCCCTTTCTTTTTATATGGTCTCATGCCATCTTCATCGTATTCTACCAATGCTTGGATTCTAGTGCAGTTTGACCTGTATATAGTTTCTCTCTAGCTCTAATTTCTGTCTCTTTCATTTCCATCAATTGGCCCGTATCACTCTCTCACTCTCACTGTCTCACACTGCCTGCTCCTTCTCTATCGCTTTCATTTCGTATGGACATACATCATCATCATATTCTAATAACACTAAGATTCTGGTGCACTCTGATCTCCATATAGAGCTCTCTCTAGCTTCCTTCTTTGTCACTCAGTTGTTTGTATCTCTCTCTCGCCTTCATTCCAAATGGACTCATCATCATCATCATATTCTATCAATACTATTATTTCTCCCTGACTTCAATTCCTGCAGCTCTTTTTTTGTCGCCTTGCTTCTATTTGCACTCACTCACATTGCCCGCTCAATGTTCTCAAAATGCTGACATGGACATCAGTGAGCAAATAGCAAAGAATTTCTATTAGCCCACACACACATACACACATACACATATGTATATGCATATGCACATACACACGCAAATATATAAATATATCCATAAGCAGCCGCTGCATTAATTCATAACGCATCTGCATCAGCGCCCACGCCCACGCCCCCGACCCACGCCCCCAACTGCCCATTCTCATAGGCAGCCCCGCTCAAGTGGCAGCCAAATTCAACTCAATTATGCACAATTACAGACACAAACAGGCCAAGTGGCCGTGTGGAGGTTGGAGGCTCGAAGCTCGGTCTCGGGGCATGCATGCACCAAGCGGGCCCCCATTTAATAGCCAAACGACCTTAATAGGAGCCTGAGGCAACTTAACTGCGCGTTACAATGACAGCCGCAGCAGCAGTCGCAGTCGCAGCAGCAGCAGTCGCAGCCGCAGCAGCAGTCGCAGCCGCAGCAGCAGTCGCAGTCGCAGCAGCAGCAGCAGCAGCGGCTGAAGCAGCCGTTGGCAGTGCTCCTAGTGGCGCTTCCTGCAATGAATTCTTTTCCCTTTTTTTTCGGGGCTTTATATTGGAGGTAGGTGGAGCAAGGGCGAGTGAGCGAGCGGGGGGCAGTGTGTGTGGCTTGTAAGGTGGGGCAGCAAACAAATGCAGTTGCATTCAGACGGGCGGCACTTGGCTGGCGCTTAAATTGCATGCATAGCTCATTGCTTGGCACTCGACGTGGCTGAAGAGCAGCTGTAAAATGCAGCGAGGGCGGGTGTGGGGGCGGGCCGTGGTGCCTGCTGTCAAAATGGCATTGAATTGCTTAAATACTTTTGGTAATGCGGCAGAGGAGTCGTTGGCTTAATGGCTGGTTGGCTGGCAGGAGGCAAGAGGCAGGAGGCGAGAGGCGGGAGGCAGCCAGGCAGAGGCAGCGTCGCTTTTTTGGTTGCCATGCGGCATGTGCCCCAAAATGAAGCAACATATGCCAATGGCAGGCCATGAATAAACGGCCTGTGCAACTGCACGAATGAATGACTGAACGAACGAACGAGCGAGCGAGAGGGCGAGAGGGCGAGGGGGCGAGCGGGTGAGCGAGCGATATGAAGTGCAATCAATGCAAAAATGTTTTCAAGTACACAGCCAGGCATCCAGGCGAGGCAGGCAGCGGGCAGATGCACCCAGTGCACCAGATACAGCACAACTAGAGATAGCTACGGGTGTGTGTGTGTGTGTGTGCGTGCGTGTGTGTGTGTGTGTGTGTGGATGTATTGAGGCACGTCGGTGTGAAAGGATTATTCACACACTATTGATTTCAAATTGAGTTGACTTCAAATCCGTCTGAATTGACAGGCAGTCAGCTGAGGCAAGGCAACACATGGCAACGGCTTCAGCTATAGCTTCCAGCCATCTCTCTGCCTGTGTGTGTGCGTGTGTGTGTGTGTGAAACCGGAAGTTGACTAATGAATTTAATTTGCAGTGGGTGTTGAAGCAAATAGAGCGACAAACAGATACACATGCCAGCCAGCCAGCCAGACGAACAGACATGAAGATGGAGCTGCCAGCCAGCCAGAGGACAGACTGACAGACTGACTGACTGACTGACTGACTGATTGACTGTCAGATTTGAGTGGCTGTCTGCGCTCTGCTGTGCGTAAGTAGGCAACTGTTTTTGTTTGGCCAACACTGTGCGTGGCAGCCATATGGCCTCAGTCCCAGCACGCCTGCCAGATGCAATTACAGCTCTTTAAATCGATTAGATAGCATATGGATATAGTCGATATTTCTTCCATTTATAGGCTTCTTGTTTTGCTGCATTTCGTAGTATTAGGGAGAATAGCAGCAATATAGGTTATTTGAATTTCGAAATCAAATCGAGATTCATTACTCTCTTGCTAACGTGGGGACTATGTATTTAGTTCCTTTTTATCATCGTGATCAATCTGAAAGTGACAGAGCATATAGGGATTGTTCACTGTTCGCCTTGGTGTCCATCAGTCCGTAGTTTATTGAATAGAGAAACTAAAAAATTATAATACATAATGTATTATAATATAACATATTTTGTGAGTATATCTACGCCCAAGGAAGGCGTGGCAAATCGAAGAGAAATCTATGTCTTCTAAGGGCTTCGAGCTAGCAGATTTATCAGAGCAGATTCCCTCCCTTAACAACATAGACTCAACTCTGTTTGGTACCGTGAAAGAGTATTATAAAGTCGTTAACACCCAACTGCAACACTCTTAGTAAGACTCTCTTATCGGAAATGTCAATTATTATATCTAATAAAATTTAAATTAATTTTTGCCTTGGCCCAGACTAAAGTTAAAATGTGTATTAAATTTTTCAACTTGCTATTTCTATGTTTTTAAATATTTCTTTCAATTTTATTTTATTTACTATTATTATTATCTTTTATATTTTTTATTTCATTCAGAAAAACTGTAAATTCGGTTGCGGTTTCAATGCTGAAAAAAAAAAAAAAAAAAAAAAAAACATAGAATTAATGCCCTAACTAAAGCCAAAATAGTTGCTTCAATTGCATAAGCACTTGATGCAGCATATTTAAATATTTCGTTAGATTTTATTCTATTTTACGCTTAAAACGTTGCCAATTAAGCATTGTATAGATTCAATTCAATTTGAATATGAATTTTAATATTTGAAATACAATTTATTATCAATAATTACCTTTTTCTTGTGGAATATAGAGTAGTTAATTCGCAAGTTGCCCCAGATGGCTCGCCTCCATATTGCTCCGCTCACAGGCCAGAGCTTAGCTCAGCTCAGACTGACAGGCGTAGCTTGATCTGAAGTTCTGTTCGTTCAGTAAATCTTCTCCGTTCACTCTCACTTTGTAATACTCAGAAAAAGACTTCAAACATATTAACACATTTCAGCTTAAGCTCTACTCATATTCAGAACTGTCAAAGTGATGTATGCCACATGGCAATCTGAATCTGGCAGCATTGAAAACATTTAAATGTTTCACAATTCAACTCCCAGCTGGCGCAAAACTTTGCCATATATTAAATAGAGCAGCTATGGCTTACCCACATTCGTGTGAGGATCTCGCGGGCTGTTTGAGGATCCTTTTGAGTAGGCGTCGCCTCGCTGCGCTGCCACATCTGTCCATGTGGAGGATGGAGAATGGAGAATGGATGACAGTTAGTTTTACTTCGGCATTTGTTAGTTACACACACAACAAACATTGGAAATCCTTTTAATTATTTTTTTTTTTGTTGTGTCTGGTTTTTCGTATTTATGTGTCGCCTCTACTAGGTAAATATCTATTCGCAACAAGACAATACATTCGTACACATACATACATATATCTACATATATCTACATACGAGGTCGTTGTTTCATTGTTGATCGTCGACTTGTGAGAAACATGAATGAATATTTAGATAATGCCAGGCGCAGCATTCAACGGGCGATGAGCAGCAGCTACCACTCCCTATCGACGGTGGCCAGCACGGCCGGTGGCCTGGCCGCCACTACCGGGATGCAACTAATTGGCCGCCTGCTGGGCCTGAAGGCCCAGGCCTCCATGGACTCAATGGCCGACTCGCGGACGACGTCAAGCACGGATCTGGGCTCGCCGTCAGCGGGGGCATTGGATGAGCAGCAAACGCGACTGGTCAGCGTGGTATGTGGGTTCCCCAAGGATATCGTCATGTATCCCGATTATGTGAGGGGGCAGTTTGGCGAGGATGCCTGGTTCAAGACCTCCACATCGAAGGCGGATACGCTGGGCGTGGCCGACGGCGTCGGCGGCTGGCGAGTGTATGGCATCGATCCGGGCCTGTTCAGCCGCTTCCTGATGCGCTCCTGCGAGCGCCTCGCCCACACCTCGGACTTTGACTCGACGCGACCCGAGCATTTGCTCGCCCGCGCCTACTGCAATCTGCTGGAGCAGAAACAGCCCATTCTGGGCAGCTGCACCGCCTGTGTGCTGACGCTGCACCGCGAGAGCGGCATCCTCTATGCGGCGAACATCGGAGACAGCGGCCTGCTGGTCATACGCAACGGGGCCGTGGTCTGCCGCTCCGTGGAGCAGCAGCATCACTTCAATACGCCGTACCAGCTGGCCGTGCCGCCACCTGGACAGGGCCTCAACGTGCTGACAGATGGGCCCGAGTGTGCCGCCCTCCTGGAGTTCGATATGCAGCCGGGCGATATACTGATGCTGGCCACAGACGGTGTCTACGACAATGTGTCCGAGGAGCTGCTGCTGCAGGTGCTCAGCCATGCGGCCGGCGTCACAGATCCCGTCAAGCTGCAGATGTACGCCAATTCGGTGGCCCTGATGGCCCGCTCGCTCAGCTTCAATCCGCACCACGAGTCGCCGTTCACCCAGAATGCCAGGCGCCACAACATCGATGCGCCTGGCGGCAAGCCGGACGACGTAACCGTCATCCTGGCCAGCGTTGTTTAACTGGCCAGCTTGATGGTGATGGTCGCTCTGATGATGCAATGCAATGCACTTTGTAACACAACAGTAACCATCTCATAAATAGGAATGCCGGAATGCCCCACAGCCACGCCCACACCCACAGCCACACCCACCTCCCATCAATCCCATCTGTGCGCACTCACTGGCAGCTGTGCACAGCTCCAAGCTATTCCTGTTCAGCTGTGGACAATTGCCAGTGAATGCTCTGGACTCACGCACACATCAGGAGACGGGATTGTCTACAGCACAGCAAAAAAAAAAAAAACAAAACAAACAAACAAAAAAATCTTAAAAAATACGTCTCAATCGGTATAGATATATATATCTCTCTATATATATATATATAGATCAATATGTATATTTAGGGTATAGGTAGAGTTAGTTGATCTTATTGCTCCAATCTACGACATTCGGCATTCCATGTTCATCTGGCTCGCAGGCATCAGGCGCCCCACTCGAACTGCCGCCATTGGCCAACCAAATCCATCGCCCCTGCATGCCCAACTCCACCCGCCTGAGCTTAACTCCTTCTTGACACATTCAAATGCAAAATTAAGTCGAGTGTTTTTTTTTTAGCTGCTGGCATAAAGATATTAAATTTTACCTTTGTGCTAGACAAGTGTCTTCATTTGTTTTAATAGGAAACAGACTGAAATTTCTCCGATTCCATTTTAAGCCAATCGACAATGTGAGGTTTCTGCCATCAACATAGATCCGACTATCCCATCACAAGACTGAAAATTTAATGCAAATTTAAGTAAACTCTTTAAAATATCGAAATGAGTTTGGGTTTTGTTTTTCGTTTTCGTTTATTTTCCTGGAGTACTTAACGAGTTTTTCGAGATGAGCGATGATGAAACAGCCTCCATTATGCGACTCGTTGCTGGTTGTTGTTGTTGTTGTTGTTGTTGTTGTTGTTATTGCACTCTTAGCCATCTTCACCCATCCTGGCCCGGTCAGATAACATTCCACATACTAGACGCGTCCAGGTTGTTGTCGCTGTTGTTGCTGTTGTTGTTGCTGTCGGCTTAATTGAAAAATGTTGCCTGCTGCATGTCAACATTTTGATTTCCAATATGTTGTCTGCCACATGTATCCAGGGGCTGCTCGCATTATAAATGGGGGCGCGCCCTGTGCAAAATTTGGCTTAAAATTTCACACGTTTGGCCGCGACATATGTCGCCCCGGTCAGCACTGGCGTTGGCGTTGGCCTATGGCTCGGTTTAACCACTTCCGCATGGGGCACAGGCCGTCAAATGCAGAGCGAAGGCCCGCACCTCTGCCCACTGCCCACTGCCTAGTGTCGCCTCCTGGCCCACACCCCAATGACATTTACCGTTAGCATATCAATAACACACGCTGCGCCACAGACCGGACTCATAAAATATGGCAACAGCAACAGCAACAGCAACAGCAACAGTGGCAACAGTCGGTCGGTCGTCAACTTCCACGAGGCATGTGAAACGTGACGCGTGATGCCAGCCAGCAACGCCTTGCTGCCACACACACTCAACGCACACACACACACGCACACGCACACATCCTCTAGGTGTGCCGCGACCCGTTTGATTTTGCATTTCATGCAAATTTTTGGTAGCGACCGTCGACGATGACAAGGCGCACTACAGCGGACAGTAGATTAGGGTAGAGGCGGGTAGAGGCGGGCGCGCAACTCTGTCGCATCATCGGAAATGAATCATTTGCTTCGTTTGTCGGCATCCGCTTGGCGCTTATTTCCGTTGCGTCGCTCATTTTTGGTCTAAACCAGCGCCAGCCAAACGACCAAACGGCCAACCGGCGAATCATCCAACCAGCCAACCATCCAACCATCCAACCAGCCAACCATCCAACCAGCCGACCAACTGGTCGAGAGCACGGCCTGACATGTGTGCGCGGCACGCTTCCGTGACAGAACATGGAACCAAGATGGGGGCTCACACACAGGTAATATTTTTACACCGTTGCCTTTGACACCTGTCGTTGTGCGACAACGGCCTCAAAGAGTGCGAGTCGAGAGACTGGGAAAAGGCGTTGTAGGAAACGTGATAGAGCGGCATGCTGGACAGCCGACTGCATTAGTTATTTAGTAGTGCCTCAAATGTAATATGTACTATTATAGAATAGTAATATGTACTATATATTTTATTTTAGTGTATTGTATTAAAAAGAGAATTGATTTTAAATGTATTTATGGGTGATGTAAGAGAGTGCGTAAGACATATAGGATCAGTCTGTAGAGATTAAGACTCAGATTTGAGCTGCCTATCTCTCTCTCTCTCTCTCTCTCTCTCTCTCTCTCTTTTTCTTTCTCTCTCTCTGTCTATCTTTAGTTCTTACTCTTTCTTTTTCTGTCTGTCACTCTATCATCAAGTCATAAGTTCATCGATTCTCATCTTATCCTTATCCTTATCTCCCTCATTCTTTCTCTCTCTCCAGCTCCCTCTTTCCATGTACTATTTCTTTCTCATTATCTCTGACCTTTTCGTTTCACTCTCAAGACCTTTTCTCGTCTGTTCCCTAGCTATACTTCCAACAAACACATAAACCTGAGATTTTATTCCAAAAGAAAATAATTTCTCTTCGACATATCCTCAAGAACTTAACTTGCACACATTTTTTTGCAGCCTTAGTTCTAGAATTTCTGGGTTTTCTTCTTCTTTTTTTTGGGTCTTGGATATCTGGACTGGAGACTGTGGCCCGCATATTAGTGGCCTTTTGCTTATCCATCCATTTAAGCTTCTTTCCGCCAGCCCATCCATCAGCTCATCCTTTTATCTACCCGTCCGTCCGTCTGTCCGTCCGTTCGTCTGTTTGTCCGTCCGTTCGGTAGTCCGCTCATCCATTCGTTTGTCCACACTCATTTGAGTCCCGCATAAATCAATTGCACTTGTCATCAACTCAATTAATTTTTGGCAAACAAAGTGCAGTAAATCAATTGCTTTGGCAGCTCGGCTCGTTGACCATGCCCAGGCGCCCGGGCAGTGGGCCAGGCACGGGTTGCGGCACGAGGGTCAACGTGGCCAGAATGTCCTTTTACTGTTGCGCTCCCATTTTTGGATATACATATATTTTTCGCCCAGCTTTTTTTCTCTCCTGTTTCGCCTTGCCTCCCTCCGCCCCATTTCGACGTTTGTCATTGGCATTTTTTGTCACTCGGCGCAGTTTTTGCTGTTTTATTTGTGCGTTGCATTCAGGTTCTGTCCTTATCGGACAGCAGACTACGGCCGACTACGGACTACGGACTGCCTGCCGACTACCAACTGTCGACTGCCGACTACGGACCGTCGACTGTCCATTTTATGAGCCGCCGCCCCATGCATGTTGACACTGTATCAAATGGGGTTAAAAAGTGATTAAAGTAGGTTTGGCAAATGTCAACAATGTTTATACCGTGGCCATTGCCCGGGTTCGACTGCGGGCTCGCAGCTCGCTGTTCGCAGTTCGCAGTTCACAGTTCGCAGCTGGAATGGTTTCGTTGGGAGGGGGTATATCTGGTAGCGGGGGGGCTTAGGCGAGTAACTGTCGTGCGAGTGCTCTTGACGTTTCGGTATGCAGACCAGCTGGTTCGCTTGACCCAGCCCAGCCCACCTCAGGCCTCTGCCGCACTTCATGTCAGCTGCCCACCTTCAGTCATTCGTTCGTTTGGCTGCTCGATTCGATTTGCAATTTTTTACATCATATCGCCGCCCTTCAGCGGCCCTCCATTACAGCCATTGATACAGGCGAACAGCGAACGACGAACCACGAACCACGACCACATCCACAGGAACTCACCCATCTGTCCGACGTTCAGTCGCGTCCATAGACAGCGTTAAATTATGCAACTTTTTCTTTCTTTTGCCATGCGAAAATTGAATTTATGCATTTGCGCTCCTGGCCGACATGTTTCTCATATCCGCACTTCGCAAAGGACTCGGCACGTTGACAGGATCTGCAGCTGACATATCCAGCGTTCCCCTGGCTGTGTGCCAGATATGTTAAATAAAACCAATCGGAATTGATATTTGCAAAATATTTACTTAGCTAAAGTGAAAGCTGAACCATGTTTAATCAGCGCTAAATTTCTGTTTGGTTGGGACTTGTACTGAGGGATCCTTCTCCGAGGGATCCTTGTACGAGGGATCTTGTCCAAGGGCTCCTTGTACTGCGGGATCGTTCTCCGAGGCATCCCTGTCCGAAGGATCCTTATCCGAGGGATCCATATCCGAGGGATCCTTGCCCGAGGGATCCTTGCCCGAGGGATCCTTGTCCGAGGGATTCTTGTGCGAGGGATCCTTGTCCGAGGGATTCTTGTCCGAGGGATCCTTGTCCGAGGGATTCAGTGATTCGACTTTTCATTCATTTTCATTCAAAACCAACAAATATATAACTTATTTATCAAAATATCTTTAATTAATCAGACATACAAGCTTTCCTAACTTCTATTTAACTCTTTTCATATACATCAATTTATCAATTTATTCGATACTCAACTGATTCTAGTTTATGGTCGAGCTAGAGTCTAATCTCAGCCTCTACTCAAGGGGCTGGACATTCGTCTGGTGCTCACTGCATAATTATATGACTCGCATGCACAGAATCCCTGTTGAGAATTCAAATTTGGAATCCAAATTTTGTTTGTGTGACATGAAAATCATGTCCGGGCTGGCCGACGATGGGTAATTTCTATGCAGCCTTTGTCTTCGACTCCGATTCCGAGCCAGAGGGTTCTTCGGTCGTATGTCATGCTTGGGCAGGCGATTTATTATCAACGAAATACTCTTAAAATTGTTGCGTAAGTTCCAAATGCAACTGCAACTGCAACGGCACAACGAGCGGCCAGCTAGCCAACAGACAACAGCAGAGTAAACAAGCCCAAAAGATTGTACGTGTGTGTGTGTGTGTTTATGAGGGTCGCATATATCTATATATAAATTACACACCCACATGTATAAATTACCTTTTGATAAATCTCAGTCATCTCTCTTTCTCGCTCGTTCTCAATCTGAAAGCCAAGTAGTCAAAATGCAGAAACATATAGAAAAATGTGCAGTCATGGAATGGAAGAGCAGGAGGCGGAGGCAGGGCAAGGGCAAGAGAGTGGGTGGTGGGTGTGGCAGCACTGTAAGCTGTGTTTGTATAACTGTGCTATGCACACACTGTCGCACTTGAGAAATCTTTTCGAACGTAAATCAATCCGTGCAGCTACATCATCGTCCGACCAAAACTACGACTGCGACGCTTTTCCGGCTGAGAGCCTGGCCAGAAACTACACCAATTGCTTTTCTTGATTGTTTTGGTTGTTGTTTTTGTTGCTGCTGCTGCTGCTGCTGTTGCTGCTGCTGCTGTGCCTGGCCACATATCGAAATGTAAATTCAAGTTGCAGTTGAAATACTCGTGGGCCCCGCAGCCGTTGCTCAGAGCAGGCCAGCCGGACCCGGCAGTCGCCCACTTGCGGAGAGCTATGACAAAAACGAAGCTCTACAAAAGCGATAACGACACTCATCATCAACCAAAGTCGGATTTGCTAGCTGCCTGTCCCAAACTAACTCTGCCTGCTTTGCTTTTGGTATCTCTCTCTTTCTCTAACTCCCTCTTTCTCTCTCTCTTTCTCTCTCTGTCTTGCGTATGCATTTCAAAAACGCAATTTTTGGTCCTTTTGGCCAGAAGTTGCATTGCATTGCGTTGAACAATTTCGTTTACTTTGACCCCGGACTCTGGACTAAAAAGATGACCAAGAGCTTGCCACGTTTTGAGCCGTTCTGCCGACTCCTGCTGCTCAGCAATGGCCCTGGCTGCAG